TGGATGAATCCACCACTGAGTAACACTGTTCGATTGAGAAGATACATAATTAAAATGGCCGGGAGCTTTTAATACAACGTGTAGGTCTTTTGTCTGATTCTTGCCTTCTTTCCAGACATAAAATAATAAACACATTTTAAATATGTCTGAATATAATGTTGTTTCGCATGTGGTTGTAATTCCAGATGCGACCACAGGGGGCAGCAGTGAGAGTACAAATGTGCTCCACATCTGCAGAGGGCTGCAGAACTGAAATCCCATTCGATTTTTGCGGAGGGAACGAAAGAGGTGCTATAGAAATATGTGACCTCTCTACAACTCTATCACACAACTAGTCTCAAAGCCTGCCCTCACACCCTCAGGGGATATGAGGTCACTAAACTCAATCAAAGAAATAAACGTTCTCATCACAGAGGAGCAGAACAGCCACCATTTATTTCTTTTTTCCTGTTGTTATGGAGACCTGAAGTCACCCTGATGCCTCCTGTGCAGCTCCATAAATTACCTGTGTTATTACAGTGGAGACGGACGACCTTTCGCTGTCTGGTTCAGTTTCTTTAATGGTCTCCAGGAGCTCAGCGTGACCAAGTCTATCATTACTGGGATTCAGGCTCAGAGCACATTTCACTAAAAGAAACTATCATCACGTCGTCCGTCTCGTTAAAGCTTTATTTATTCAGGCTTTATTCAATCTTTAATGTCACCTCGGAGCTGAGGTGTGTTCAACTGTGAATCCAAATGACAACAGAGAGACGTTTGTGCTATTTATAGTGCAATAAATGCTCTCATTTTGCGCATTGTACCTCGACTGCACAATTACTACACTGACAGAAATGTTGTGATCATTGAGTCATAACCAAAAGAACAACGTTTTTTTTTGTGTAATTTCCCAAAACACATTTTTAAACAACTTCTTGAATGTGTAACCAAATTGTTTTTAGCCATTTTTTTGCAAACTTTCTTAAAAGGAGCAACGGGAAAGAGAACGACAGCTTTTCTTGCAAGAAACTTTAATCAACATCATAGCCTGATCGAATAGCGTTAAAGAAGTAAAGTGAGAATAAAAGCATCTGAGGCACAGACTCAAACCAGCTACTAATTATAACCGTCAAACAATGGATGAATTATCAAACATTATGGCAGTTTTGGCAATAGTTAGCATATTTTGAGTACAATTATTGTACTTCTGGCAACTCAGAGTTGGTTTATCAAAGATTATGAAAAGGGAAACAGATGCCTGGTGCTGGAAACGCTGAAGGACAGAGAGATTGTCATAAAAACCAAAACAAGAAGCTAAGAGTCTACTTTCATCAAAAAATCATATAAGGTATACACAACACCACAAATTAAGATATGTAACGATGAATCAACCCGCCAAAAGAAAGTGGAGGAATGTGGAGAGACTAGGGTCAAGGCCTGGAAATACTTATCGCACTTGTGGACTTTTGCGTTAAATTTTAATATGAATTTTGTTGTTGAATGCAATAATTATAGGAGAAGCTAAAAGATTAAAATGCCCTGTCAACTTTGATCAGAATCACAAACACCAAATGACAGCACAACAAAACCACACATTGAGACCAGTGATGAAGAATTAACAAGCCAGCGATCAAGGCAGTGCACATGGAGGGATGTGGAGAGACCAAACCAGAGAAGAAAAGTGCAGAAAAAAACAAAACAAGAAGATTAAAAAGTCCTGTCCACTTTCATCCCTGTCCAATCATCTATAACACAAAATGACAGAGCAACAGAAACACAAATTGAGACCAATAATCATGACTTAAAAAGGCTTGAATCACAGGTCACACAGACTGATGGTGAGTGAAGGCAATCTTACCTTTTGGTTTGAGTGATGGCTGAGGAAGCTGTGGTCACTTCATGGAATAAAGAGGTTTAAACGCTGAGTCATTGTAAGGCACGAGCAGCCAACAGAGAGGGAGGAAGACCTGTTGGTGCCTTTAAAGCCTTCCTGGGACTCTTATTGGCTCCCAGGCGACACCTGAGCAGCAGATATCATGCTGTGGGTTCCCGTGCAGGTATTTGAAGCTTTAACAGAGGCAGGGTCCGGACAGAAGGACCCACAGAGTGGTCTTTGTCCGATGGGGGGGTTATGTGTCACCCCGGGGTCGAACCGGTCTTATCTGATCCTCCAATGACTTCATTAGATCAATGTCTGCCTGAGCAGTGAAGCAGAGGAAGGTTAATGACAGGGAGTGAATGAAGGGGGGGTAGTGAGGCTTTGTGAGGGACAGGTGCATCATGTTGATGTCAAATGTCATGTTGCATACGAGATAACATTACAGACCCACCGCTCCTCCACTCAAGCAGTTCTTGGGGATTTAATAGACAGATCTGTTCGACTGAGGATGCAAAAAGATCCACTTTAAGCTCCGTCCACAGGTGTGCCCCTGGGAGTCTTGGAGTATGGAAAAGTAGACGAATGAATCTTGAGCTTCTCAGACCAAAATGGCTAGTTTGTCTGACTAGAAATTGGCCGCACACAAGCCAAGATTAAACTTCTTTCAAATTTCTGATCCTGATTCTACATTTCTTTATAGTTGGATCAACAGGTATATCTTTTTCAAGACGTTCAGCAACTTTCTGTAAATCAATGACGTACGGGTGGTTCATATCCCTGAATCCATGTGCCAACAAAGCAGCAGAGATTTAGTGTTTCAAATGATGTTGAATCTNGTAAGTATCATAAATGTTGAGATTATTTTCTGCAATAATCCAAAATCCCATCTATAGCACCTCTTTCGTTCCCTCCGCAAAAATCGAATGGGATTTCTTCATGGGATTTTGGATTATTGCAGAAAATAATCTCAACATTTATGATACTTACGAGGCGACAGGAAAATTAAGATAAAATGCTCACAAATGTCTTGGTTTTAGGACTCAGTTCTGCAGCCCTCTGCAGATGTGGAGCACATTTGTACTCTCACTGCTGCCCCCTGTGGTCGCATCGGGAATTACAACCACATGCGAAACAACATTATATTCAGACATATTCAAAATGTGTTTATTATTTTGTGTCTGGAAAGAAGGCAGGAATCAGACAAAAGACCTACACGTTGTATTAAAAGCTCCTGGCCATTTTAATTATGTATCTTCTCAATCGAACAGTGTTACTCAGTGGTGGATTCATCCATATTTGTTGGTTACCATGTTCTAATCCCAATAGTAACCAAGTGCCTTCTCTCCCTGAATGCAGATTCAAGTCATGTTTCTGATATGGATTTTCATGCTATCTGCTCTTCCAAGCGGTGAGTTTCCTTCTACATTTCCAAAAACAGATAGTCTTTTGCCATTGGCTGGATAAGGGCCAGTCCCTCCCCTTCTATGTTTGCGTGAGACGTCTTTCCCTAATAATGTTGACACAATGGTAAAATGTTATAGAAATATGAAAGCTGCTATATATTTACCTCTTTAACTACATATTCAAGGGACGGAAAACATGCTAAAACTGTTTGACCTTTTTTTGTAGGTGCTTATTAAATAGATATTTTTTGACAGATGAAAGTGGAAAAGGTAATTTCAAAAGGTAATTTGTAGAAGATATCAGAAGAACCAGAACGACAAGAACCAGGAGAACCAGAAGAACCAGAATACAAATAAAAAGAAGAACCAGAATAAAAAGGACCGGAAGAACCAGAAGGATCAGAAGGATCAGAAGAAAAAGAACCAGAATAACAGGAACCAGAAGAACCAGAATGAAAAGAACCAGAAGAACCAGAAGAAAAAGAACCAGAATAACAGGAACCAGAAGAACCAGAATGAAAAGAACCAGAAGAACCAGAAGGATCAGAAGAAAAAGAACCAGAATAACAGGAACCAGAAGAACCAGAATGAAAAGAACCAGAAGAACCAGAAGAAAAAGAACCAGAAGAACCAAAATAAAAAGAACCAGAAGAACCAGAATAAAAAGACCCAGAAGAACCAGAAGGATCAGAAGGATCAGAATAAAAAGAACCAGAAGAACCAGAATAAAAAGAACCAGAAGAACCAGAAGAAAAAGAACCAGAAGAACCAGAAGAAAAAGAACCAGAAGAACCAGAAGAAAAAGAACCAGAAGAACCAAAATAAAAAGAACCAGAACCAAAATAAAAAGAACCAGAATAAAAAGAACCAGAAGAACCAAAATAAAAAGAACCAGAAGAACCAGAATAAAAAGAACCAGAAGAACCAGAATAAAAAGAACCAGAAGAACCAGAAGAAAAAGAACCAGAAGAAAAAGAACCAGAAGAACCAGAAGAAGAAAACCCTTTATTATTCCCCATAAGCAGATTCAATTCAATCTTATTGTGTGTTTTTTACGATGGTTTGATGTGTTTTGTGTAATTATCCCAATGTGGCATGATGTCATTTGATGTTTTAGTGCACTGATGTGTTAAATGTTAATGAAATCATGATGATAACTCTGTCTCCTCTTTGTCTGCAGCGCTGTGTGCCTCCATCTTCTGCCCGGACCCCGAGGCAAGCGACCCAAACACAGATCACATGACTGGTGAGGAGGAAATTAATGTACTGAGACACAAGAGGCATGAGGCTGTAATTAGTATGAATTAATTAATCAGCTAAGCCAAGTCTTATTCGTTGGTTCACTGAGTTCAAACGATTAATAACGCAGCATTTAATATGAGGAAGAAAGGTCAGAGTGCTGATGGGGGTTCGGTGAGTTCAAATGCAGCTAATTATACACGAGCTAACCGTATGCTAACATTCTGAACCAGGGGGGACTAAAAAGTGATGCACACATCTGGGACTGGAGCGCTTGGTGATGTTCAGGATTATAAAGTGTGTTTTGGAACATCTGCTTCTTTTCTTAAGCTGCAGCACGTTTCTCCTGATGGAAGACTTTAGGGTCGTTGTAGCACGTTAGCACCTGTTAGCACTGTACTATACATCTAAACACATATATTATGAACTGTGCCCATCTTTGACCATTTAAAATCCATTATTCTATGTTTTGTGTTTTTCATTGTTTGTTCAGTACTAAAAGGTTGAAGTCCCACAATTCATTTTAATATTCATTTGACATGTTAACTCTCATAAAGCGCTTCATGGGAGTAATTGCGGGAGAGTGACACCTCGTAGCTCCATTGATGGTCTAGCTTCTATAACGCTGCTGATTTAGTGTGATATTTTTTGATGTTGTTGACATGAAGGTGGGCTGTGGTGTTCTCAGACACCTGTAGTTACAATCTGTGGCTTCACCTCACATGTGGAGAGCTGTCGACTCCATCTTTTTCCACCCTGCATGCTTCTTAGGTTCCTGCCAACAGGATTATCTGTGATTAAATCTCTTCTGCTCCACACCTGCCAAGAGAAGGAAATGGAGTTTTACTCACAGCCTCTTCGTGTCTGTCTGCGGGCGAATAGTCACATAAATCTGATTCTATGTATTTTACTGACCAGTTCTCCTTAATATCAGTCAGAGGTGGAACAAGTACTCAGATCTTGTATTTGAGTAAAAATACAAATACTCAGATCTTGTACTTGAGTAAAAGTAGAAGTACTCAGATCTTGTAGTAAAAGTAGAAGTACTCAGATCTTGTACTTGAGTAAAAGTAGAAGTACTCAGATCTTGTACTTGACTAAAAGTAGAAGTACTCAGATCTTGTACTTGAGTAAAAGTAGAAGTACTCAGATCTTGTACTTGAGTAAAAGTAGAAGTACCAGAGTGTAGGAATACTCTTTTACAGTAAAAGTCCTGCATTCAAAATGTTCCTCAAGTGAAAGTAGAAAAGTATTCTCATCAAAATATAGTGAAAGTAGCGACAGTAAAAGTAGTCATTGTGCAGATGGGTCCATTTCAGAATAATATATATGATATGTTTTATAATGATTGATCATGAAAGTGTTCTCAAAGCTGGTAAAGGTGCAGCTAGTTTGAATGACTTTGTATACTGCAGGGTAGCTGGTGGATTTACTCCAGGTGGAACTAAAGTCTGATTTAACACTTGATTAGATTTCACTTAATTGATCCAGATCTGTGTCTCTTGTTTCCCTCCTCTCGGTGCAGATTGTCTCGGCCTTCGCTTCACCTGGCTTCACTCGGTCTTCGATAACTTCCCCTCTCTGCTGAGTTTCTCTCTGAAGCTCCGCTGTGCAACGGGGATTTGTCCTCGAGACCTGGAGGATTACGGCTGCTCCTGCAGATACGAGTCCTCTGGAAACCCTGTGGATCCTCTGGACAGGTGAGCGACACCCTGTAGATAAAAAAACAGCATGGAGTATGGAGGTGGGCCTATCGGGCGGGAAGATTTAAAAACTCAAATAGGCAGAAAGATCAACAGACATTGAAGCACATTATCGTAGTGGCCAAATGGTGGTACTACAACTTCCAGTCCGTCACGTCATTGGAGCCCAAAGAGACTTTTTCCTATTGACCTACACTATTTTAAGAGATAAAAATTGTCAGAGGATCGGAGGAAGAAATCAAAACGTTGGGATGATTATCCGCTGATTAACAGACGTCTCTTTCCTGATGTAAGTCAATGGGAGAAAGTGTTTATGGGCCAGGTGACGTCACAGACTGATTTGGAAGTTGTAGTACCGCCGTTTGGCCACCACGAATATTTTCCTCAGAGTCCGGAGCACTTCCTGGGGGCTTGGTGCCAGCCTGGTAAATGGTATTGTATAACAGCTCTGAAGCTACAATATGCTTCTGAGTAATCCCTGATCTCTTCTTTGCTCCAGCTGCTGTGAGACTCACAGCGTGTGTTATCAGAGCGCTGCCCCCTGCAGGCAGGCGCTGATCCCCCTCCCCAACAACTCCACCTGCTCAGCAGCAAACTCCAGCTGTGGTAAGACTTCCAGTGGAAAGAGACAGTGAGACATTTCTCAATCTAAATTGCAATCTTTATACATGTTTGTAGATTTAGAACTTACATTTTTGGTCATTTTACTTGAAGCATGAACTGCCACTTTTCAAACAAAGAAATACAGATGTTGTCAGTAGTCCTGCTGTATGTCTTTCTGGATGTGCATAGACTTTAATGAAAGCTCTTTTCTCTACCTCCAGATGCTGGTGACCGGTGCCAGCAGAGGTTTTGTGAATGTGACCAGGCGGCCATCGACTGCATGACTCGGAGCGAATACAACTCGTCTCTGAAAAACCTCCACGCGTCTTTCTGCACCGCGGAGAATCAAACCGGTAACATCATCAAACATCACCATGGGAAACACATCAGCCTTTTTACAACATAACAATTCACATTAAACAGAAAAGCATTACGGTGTTGTGCAAAATAATGTAGTCATTGAAAAGGTAAGAGAATACCAATTAAAACAAACTGAAATTGAACGAGACAGGTATAAAATCCAAGATAGTAGTCGTAACAAAAGGGCGATACCTGCATAAACAAATAAATTAAAAAGTATTTCAAAAAATCATAATACAGAATAAGAAAAAAGTAATTGAAGATACTAAGATTGAGTCTTCCTGACGACTCAATCTAAATGGAAATTAAATGTATATATATTTATGCATCTAAATAGTTATCACCGCAATAAACCGTATATCATTTCGTCTTAATGTACAATATTTAGTTTCACATTCTGTTCTTGTACATATCATACTTTATTTACATATAGACTTATTGCACTATTTTCTAATTTGTATTTTTGTATTTATTCAAGTACAATAAAATCTGAAACACTATTTGACGTCATTTTTATTAAATGATAACATATTTTTATTTTTGTCAGTTTCAGATGCTGTCAGCATTAGCCTGGAGTCTGGATCTTTGTTAAGAGGAGCAGGTGAGTCTAAGTGACGTCAGTGACCTGAAGCTGACCTGAAGCTGACCTGAAGCTGACCTGAAACTGACCTGAAGCTGACCTGAAACTGACCTGAAGCTGACCTGAAGCTGACCTGAAACTGACCTGAAACTGACCTGAAGCTGACCTGAAGCTGACCTGAAGCTGACCTGAAACTGACCTGAAACTGACCTGAAACTGACCTGAAGCTGACCTGAAGCTGACCTGAAACTGACCTGAAGCTGACCTGAAACTGACCTGAAACTGACCTGAAACTGACCTGAAACTGACCTGAAACTGACATGAAACTGACATGAAACTGACCTGAAACTGACCTGAAGCTGACCTGAAGCTGACATGAAACTGAACTGAAACTGACCTGAAGCTGACCTGAAGCTGACATGAAACTGACATGAAACTGACCTGAAGCTGACCTGAAACTGACCTGAAACTGACCTGAAACTGACCTGAAGCTGACCTGAAACTGACCTGAAATACCTGAAGACTGACCTGAAGCTGACCTGAAACTGACCTGAAGCTGACATGAAACTGACCTGAAAATTACCTGAAGTTTCAAGTTTCAAGATTCAAGGCTTTATTGTCATTTGCACATTAGCTATGTAGCTATTTCAATGAAAAACGGAAGTCCCAGGCTCCTCCAACAGAGCAACATGAATATACACTTAACACAAATATAAATGCAACACTTTTGATTTTGCTCTCATTTTTCATGAGATGAACTCAAAGATCTAAAACATTTTCTATTTACACAAAATAACCATTTC